CATTTTTTCCTTATCACTTCTCGCGTGTGTTTTGTTGTGAAACGTAGTTTGCGGACCAGACAGAGCTGTCGGCGATTCTTCCTATAGTGAAGTCATGCAGTGTGAAACCCCCTGTCGCCGATCCATCGTGCAATGTGAACACAGCAGCAACTGAATGCTACCCCAGATAGTCACGCAGTGTGAAAACAACGGCGATCCAACGAGTTTGAAAATCGTGCAGTGTGAACTCGGCATAAGTGGCGATATATTAAAAAGCGATATATTCTAGTTACACTAAGTGCAAATAATGATCAATTCTGTTTACACTAAAATAGCAGCATTTTCTTTAGCAACAGGAGTGTAAATAGTAGTTAGGTGGCAGATATTTATACCTCAATACTAGTACATTATAAAACAGTATGCAATAACATATTGAGTGTAAATTATCATATACTGTATATATAAAATGTATTAGATGAATGCTACTTTATTGGGACAAAAACCTACCTAAAGCATACACAACACTGTATTATTGAGGCATTTTGTTTCCACTTTTCAAATGTTTACTTAATTTTTATTGAAAATAAATTTCTTTCTGATCTGGTATGTGATGGGAAAAGGAGAAGCATGAGTTTGACAAAAGCCAGGATCGAACTCGGGTCGACTGCGTCAAAAGCAAACAGTTCACGTTTTACTCGCTACGCCACTGATACTTCAGAAATGCAAGTGTATTTTGCAGTGCTGTTAATCACAGCAAGGCATTGGTGGGCAGAGTTAATGTAAATAGCCTCTGCAAACAAATTGGTCTATTTGTCCTTAGAGTAGTACACTCCATTTCTTTTTAGAGCTGCTTGACAGTGGAATTAAATTCTGTTTGCATAATTGAAATATTTTTATTTATACATTTTATTTATATATTATATTGCTGCAATATAATTATTATTTAATATCTTTGAAAGAATCTGTACTGTATAAAGGGCTATAAAGATAAAGGTGACATCATTTGATGATCGGAAACGTGCTGTAGAGATTAAAGTACAATTTATGTCCTACTAACGATACTGTTTTTAGATACACAGCGATAATTTGTAGTTTACATGTATATGTACAAATACAAGTGTTACATTTATAATTACTATTCCCCACCTCCCGTTCACTCACGCGTTTGAAGATGAAACGTCACATGGAGCGCATTGCGTTCTGGGAAACAGTATCCCATGCAGCGTCTTCAGATGCATACATCAAATTTCAGCCAATGTAGCAGGTAATCCGGGCATTCCATGCATACAGAAAATTCACATACTATTCACAGTATACACACAGCATACTGCAATATAGTATGGTAGTATGCCATTCCGAACAGCTTCTGTACTGATTTCAGTGTACTTGAGTTATATTTAGCAGATTCTGGCGAATATAGTAGGTCATCCGGGTATTACATGCATACAGAAAATGTGCATACTATGCACAGCATACATACTGGATACTGCAGAAATAGTAAGAGTAGTATGATAGTATGGCATTTCGAACACAGCCCATGTCTATACGGATGTGACTGCTTAAAGTGACCGCTGCAAAGGGCTTGGACTACATTAGGAATAATACGGGGAATCCGTTTGCTGTTGGGATGTTCTGTCGTCTTTCGTCGCGACGCGTCTCACTGCTCTCGTCCGGTCTAGACACGGTGTAAGCATCATAAATGTTTTGGAGCAGCTGAAGCCGTTTCTCATCGAGCTGTGTGAAATACAGACTGAACGGCGACTCAAAACACCCGACCGCTGCATGAGCATATAGTATGCAAACTACAACTCTCGACTTTATATAAAGCAAGCCAGCGTCGTGTCGCTCTAGTAAAGTTTTGATGGAGGACGGTTGTAGTCAAAATAAAGACTATTATAGTGACATACAGGAGTCATACATTAAGCGCGCATGTGTCTGCTATTATACTGAACAAAATTATAAACGCAACATTTTTGTTTTTGCCCCCACTTTTCAAGAGCTGAACTCAAAGATCTAAGACTTATTGTATGTACACAAAAGGCCTATTTCGCTCAAATATTGTTCACAAATCTGTCTAAATCGGTGTTAGTGAGCACTACTCCTTTGCCGAGATAATCCATCCACCTCACAGGTGTGGCATATCAAGATGCTGATTAGACAGCATGATTATTGCACAGGTGTGCCTTAGGCTGGCCACAATAAAAGGCCACTCTAAAATGTGCAGTTTTATCACACAGCACAATGCCACAGATGTCGCAAGTTTTGAGGGAGCGTGCAATTGGCATGCTGACTGCAGGAATGTCCACCAGACCTGTTGCCCGTGAATTGAATGTTCATTTCTCTACCATAAGCCGTCTCCAAAGGCGTTTCAGAGAATTTGGCAGTACATCCAACCAGCCTCATAACCGCAGACCACGTGTAACCACACCAGCCCAGGATCTCCACATCCAGCATCTTCACCTGCAAGATCATCTGAGACCAGCCCCCCAGACAGCTGCTGCAACAATCGGTTTGCAGGGGTCTCGACCTGACTGCAGTTCGTTGTCGTTACCGACTTGAGTGGGCAAATGCTCACATTCGATGGCGTCTGGCACTTTGGAGAGGTGTTCTCTTCACGGATGAATCCCGGTTTTCACTGTACAGGACAAATGGCAGACAGCGTATATGGCTTCGTGTGGGTGAGCGGTTTGCTGATGTCAACGTTGTGGATCGAGGGGCCCATGGTGGCGGTGGGTTTATGGTATGGGCAGGCGTATGTTATGGACAACGAACACAGGTGCATTTTATTGATGGCATTTTGAATGCACAGAGATATTCAAAATATCTCTGCAAGTCAAAGAATTTAAAACAAACAATTTGCTGTTTGAAAATATATGTATTATGTTAAATGCCACATAATACTCAGTTTTGATAAATGCCACTTGTCAATAATTCTAATTTATACAATACAAATTCAAATAGTTTTGTCATATTATAAGCTCCATAAATGTTGTTCTAACATCTGATGCAGAATGTTTTAGAAATGTATTTTAGATCAGTAATCACAAACTAGAAAACTGAATTGTATTTTTGCATTCTATTATATCTTGCTGATGAAAATACACAGAATAGGCATATGCACAAGATGTGATTTTAGTAGGGAATAAGCATAACTGACATCATAATAACATTCAGATATTTTGCCTCCATTTCTTCATGCTTCATGGAACAAATCGAAGCCAACTACATGTAAAGTAATTATTTTTGATTAAATCTTTCCAAATAATTTGTGATAGAAGTATGAACATATATTTTTTTAAATAATGTAGATAAGTTTAACAACATTTGCCTAAGCAGTATATTCCTCACAAAATGTGACTGCAATTATTTTTTATGAGGGCAGCCAATTCAAGTTGCACTGAAGGGGAAAAAACAGTTTTAAAATGTATTAAGTGCATTAAATTGAATGGGGGGAAACACAACAAGAATGCAAAGACACTACTGCACTCTGTCTGAAATTTTTCTAATGCAAAGAAATTCTTATAGGAAGAAATTCCTAGATTAAGTGTGGCTTACCTCTCCAAGTACTTTGTGGAACCACTGTCAGTACACTTAAATCTTAATGAAGCCTCTCTCTCTCTCTCTCTCTCTCAACCATATCCTCGGCATCCTGAGACTATCCATGAACTACAGAAAGACATTGTAGTTCAGGAAACACGAGCCACTCCTGGCGCCCCTCTCTCACATTTCACAACAAAGCAACATGCTTTCAGTCGTGTTTTATAAGACCTCCTTGTCATTTTCACTTGTCAGACACAATTACAATGCAAGGCACATTTTTACCAAATATTAAATTTTTTCACATCTGTATCTGTGTTTAAATTAACAACAAAAGTTTCCTAGTATGTTCAAGGGTTTATTAAATACAACAATCTATCATCTGTTGCACACTAGGCCTTTATGAAGAGTAATTACAGTAAAATGAGAATGTAACAACCTCCGTCAGACCGGGCAATCTGTTCAGATGTCAAGATTTGTAGTTTACACCCTCGTTCTAGTGTAACCTCGCACACAATAGCGGTCTGTTTACTGCTCTTGTCTCAAGAATGTTTCTCACGGGCCTGAGAGAAATCAACGTTCATATACTTGATCAAAAAACAATGCACTTACCTCTTGCTGTTGGTACCGGACGGAGTCCGGTCCCTCTGTCTGCGATTCTTGAACCAGTTGCTGACTTGAGTCAAAGAAAGTCCGGTGACTTTGGCTAAATTCTTCTTCTCGACCGGAGTGGGATACCTGTTGATCTTGTAGCATTCCTTTAGAGCGTTGCGCGACTTCTCCTTGAAGCAGTACACCGTCTCCTCTCCGTCCCAAATGGTTTTGGGCAAAGGAAACTTTTTGCGCAGTCGATATTTGTCCACCGCGCCTAGACTGCGACCCCGGGACCTCTCAGCCTCCTTGTAGCGCGCCTTCAAGTAGAGGTCTTGCAGGAACCCATGGTTACTCGGGTGGAAGTCATGACTGTCCAGGATGGCGTACAACTCATTGAATTCCTCCCGATGGAAAGCGACCAGAGCCTGGGCCTTCAGTAGGGTCTCGTTGCCACGTAGCAGATCGGCCGAAGGAGGGATGGTGGAGAGGAATCTCCACAGGCGATCCACATTGCCCGCTTGCAGGAGCGCTTCGCAGAGACACGCGACTTGATCGGTGGAAAAACTGAGCGCCGAGTTCTGGAAGCTTTGGAGCAGTTGTTCCGAAACTTCGTCCGGATCCGTCTCCTCTTTCACTTTGGCTTCATCTTGCGTGGACTCCTTTGGGCCGTTCTCAGTTTGTTCTGTGGACTCCAAAGACAAGGAAGCCATTTTTATTGTAACTTTTTTCCTTCAAGGTCCTCCTCCCTCCCCTTCTGTGTCTCTCTCCCATTCTCCCGCAGGCGAGTGAGCGCTGCTGCAAACTGCAAAGTGAGGCGTCACGCCCCTCTGCGTTTCGTCAACCTCCCCCATCTACATCCACCACAGGCCTGCTGCATTTCAACCTGGCTCCTTCATTACCATTGTGCAATCCTTTTTTCCAAACCACATTTGTTTCACATTGAGAAATAAACAATAAACAAGTTTTGGAAATTTACGTCTGCATACACTACTTTCTAACTCACGTAATTTTAGGCTACGCAACAAATTACATAAATCAATATTTTAGATAATTTAATTAATACTATTTTTTTATTCCACCTAGCAACATATTTTACAAGTTATATGCAGAATTTCATACAATGCTAAAACACTTTACACTTTAAAGGGGTCTTATAATGTTGCTAAAAAGAACATTTTGTGTATTTTTGTTTATGTTTATGCGGTTTAAGGTTAAAAAACACATTATTTTCCACATTCTGTACATTATTGTTTCTCCTCTATGCCCCGCCTTTCTGAAACGCGATTTTTTTCAAAGCTCATCATTCTGAAAAGCGAGGTGTGCTCTGATTGGCCAGCTATCCGTGCGTTGTGATTGGCCGAATACCTCAAGTGTGTGACGGAAATGTTATGCCCCTTACCATTTTGTGATGTCGTCCCAACATTAAAACCCATTATAAACGAGGCATTTGTTGCATCCAGTGGGGACATAATTACGGATTATAATGACTTATACTGTCTTGTTACGCGTTGCATCGCGCAGCGTAAACAAAACCATGTCTGCAATTTGTGATCGGAGAAATGACAAACAACAAGCGCTACTTTACACTGCTCAAAACGTCTTTGATAGAAAGAAGTTACTAGCATGATAGAAGGCAGCACTGGACAAAAAACGGTCACTGGAGCGGTGAGTGCGTGGATTCCAACCTAAACACCTCTGATTGGCCATTGCGTTTTAGAAATCAACAAACATGTCTGTGATTGACTACATTGCTCACCTCTGCGAAAATGCATTGTAAAACTTTGTCAGTTAATTGGACTTTATTGGACCCATTTTGTTGAAATACCTTCAAAGCTGATATAATTTAAAATACACATTAGCTGGAGTGTATATACAAATATATAAGACAGGATAAGAGCCTATAGCCTAAAAACCAAGGCACATTTAACTGTGTCTCCGCAGTGGCAAATAAAGTGAGTCTGAAAACTGCTACTCATTTGTAGATGTCTTGACTGCAAAACATGACTGGTTATGTTAAAAGGCAAGTGTGCACAGGCAGAAGATCAAAGGGTTGGGGGTTATGGGCTGAGAGGATGGAAAGTTGTAGGATGGGGGTGACAGTCTACAGACTGATCTCCCACTTTCCTCAAAACAAAGTTTACATTCTTGCAAAGGGATGATATAGGGGTACAGAGCTCTGCTTCATCTCATTCTGTCCTTCTGCTTCCAGGTGTGCATGTCCTCTTTCACATTTAAACCCTTACTCTCCCTGTCCATTCAACATGCAAAGTTTCAAAACACACACACACACACACGTCTGGTTCACTATCCTTGTGGGGACTCCCCATAGGTGTAATGGTTTGTATACGGTACAAACGGTATATTTTGTATCACCCTACACCAACCCTACACCTAAACCTACCCCTCACAGAAAACTTTGTGCATTTTTACAATCTAAAAAAAACCTCATTCTGTATGATCTATAAGCTTCTGTAACCATGGGGACCTCAATTTAGGTTCCCACAGTGACACAAGTCCCCATGAGTTGGTGTGTATTCAGGTTTAAGTCCCCGTATAGAAAAACATGCACACACACACACACACACACACCATCTGTTGTCTCGGGAGAATTCTCCTACTGACACTAACCAATAATAGAATATCAAATATGGTTTATGTAAAAAAAAGGCCTGATCAAACTTATCAAAGACTTCTAGACATTCATGGGTTTATTACAGTCAGTTCTAATGCATAATATGGAGGGTGTTCAGTAGGCCCATAGATAGCCTACAGTAGATAGATAGATAGATAGATAGATAGATAGTAGGGCTGTGCAAAAAATCGAATGCGATTTTCATGCGCATCTCATCAGTAAAGCCGCTCCTGTGATTACTAGTAAATCTCCAGCACGTGCTTTCAGATGGAGCGGCATTTACTACACAGAGCTGTAATTTACTGACAAGCTACACAAAATCGCGTTCAAAATCGCAGGCGATTCATTGCCGATTTTGAACGCGATTTTGTGTAGCTTGTCATTGAATAAATATACACAATAGAAATACACAATAATACACTTTTAAAGGGGTCATATGATGCGATTTCAATTTATCCTTTCTCTAATAAATAATAAATATGATTGCTGCAGTCCATTTAAAAGTGTTTAATTAATTCGAATGAACTATTAACCATTTTAATATACACTACCAGTCAAAAGATTTTGGAACAGTAAGATTTTTTATGTTTTTTAAAGAATTCTCTTCTGCTCACCAAGCCTGCATTTATTTGATGCAAAAGCAGTAATACTGTGAAATATTTTTACTATTTAAAATAACTGCTTTCTATTTGAATATATTTTAAAGGGCGTGTTAGAACGAGCCGTTTTAGGGGGGCGTGGCAAGAGTCTTAACTTTGATAAAGAATATCTCTTTGGTTTTGAGACTTTAGTCTTTGCAACTTCAGGGATCTTATCTATGCACAATCAGCTTGTAACACTCCAAAGAGAAAGGAAAACTTGAAATCGCATCATATGACCCCTTTAAGTCACTTTTCGCCACCTAGTAGCGAAACAATGCAATAGACACAAACGTTATGTGGCAGTTACTTTCAAACGCGGATTTGCTAAATTTTGGTCGCGCTACCATAGACATCAATGTTTATATCTGAATTATAAACTTTCATCCCAGTATTTCTGTGATAATATGAATGACTGTACGACAGAAGTAATACTGTGTAGTTGAAAAGACTGTTTGTGAAGCTGTTTTTTAACCAAACATGGTAACTGCTCTCTGTGTGTCAGCGCAGATTTGAATAATCCGGTAAGATTTTGTCAAAGGTTTAATAGACACGGGAGAATCGTTGTCATTTAGAAATGAGATCGTGTGGTTGTTTGAATCGAGATTGCGATCTTTTAACGATTAATCGTGCAGCTCTATTGTGCAGTCAATTGTAAGAAAAGTGCAGGGTTTAAATGGGTTTTGATTAAAAATGACAAAATCAAGTAAACTTGTATGAAAGAAGTTCAATAAAAAAATAGATTTAAAAAATAGCATTTAAAAAAATAGATAGGGTCTCATGCTGACTTAACCAATTTTGTTAAAAATTATGGGTGAACATGGTTGAATTATGCAATACGTTTCCGTTTGCATTTTTTGCTTCAATGCATGAAATAGTGTTACGCTAAAATTAGGTAGTCTATAATGGTTGAGAAATTTAGATCACACATATTATTAGTGCTTTTACAATTAATGTCAGCAAATATCTAACTTTTCAGTTTTCTTATTTGTCAGATTCGATACGGAACTTCAAGAAGAATTTCAAGTTAGGTCGATTTAATGAGGAAAACAGGGCCAAGGAAGAAGAGGCTCTTGCTAAGAAAGAAGAGGAAGAGAAGGTGGCCGCCGGATCCATTGCTGTTGGGAACCGCTGCAAAGTTGAAGTTGTTGGGCATCCTCCCAAGATTGGCACTGTTATGTTTGTGGGTAAGCTTACCCTCATTTTCATATCACACCTCTCAGATTAAGGCTTTGTTTGTGCTGTTTGCATGACCTGGTTTAATCGCATCTACTGCTCTGATTTACCAATTGAATATTACATGTACTCAAAATAGAGCCAAGAAATGAATATGATCTAATTTCAACTAGTTGCAACTAGTGATGCTTTTCAAAAGGCAGTTAACTCAACGAACTGTGTAACGCCATCCTGACTTGGGGCTCCCTGGTTTCTTTAGAGATGTGATTTTTCCATATACAGATTCCTGTGTTTTTCGACCTGAGAAATATGACCCATGTGAATTGTGTAAATATGAGAAAAAATGCTGCATTTTAAATGCATTATTATTCATTAATATTTTTTCAAATGTTTATAATTATTATTAAATACTTTTTTTTTTTTAATAATATAATAATAATAATAATAATACATAAAGTATTAAGTAGTAACAACAACAATAATATTAATAATAATAATAACTATGATTATTTTTTTAATTATTGCTATTATTGTCTAGTCATATTGAATGGGGCTTAAATGCTTGCTTTGTTTGCAGGTACAGCAGATTTCAAACCAGGCTACTGGGTTGGTGTGAAATATGATGAGCCGCTTGGGAAGAATGATGGCAGGTCAGTGCACACACAAGTTATTTATGTTTATGAATAAGACCAGCATGTCTCTGAAAATGACTAATGTGACCCTTCCATGAACCTTATGAGAAAGTCTAACTGATGCATTATGTTTGTCTTGATTTAGTGTGAATGGGAAACGTTACTTTGAGTGTGAGCCAAAATATGGCACCTTCGTGAAGCCCCTCTCAGTAATTGTGGGAGACTTCCCTGAAGAGGACTATGGTTTGGATGAGATGTAAGACTCACTTGATGAGCAGTCTGCAGCATCAGAAGAAAGATCTTCTTTCTTCCAGAAGTTTGGCTCCATGCAGTGAGACATTGCTGCGGTAGAAGGTTTTTAGTTGTCAGTGCAGATCATTTTGTTTTATGCTGGTCTGGAAGAGATTTCCTGCAGTCAAAGTTAAGGAATGATCTTAAACAACATCTGTGCCCTGGCGACTAGAAGTAACTAGTACGGTAAATGTGAGAACACCAGCCGAGGTCAGAGTAAAGAAAAGCATTCGCTTGCATGTTGATTGTTCATTAATGAATTCCAAAGTTCTGCAGCTAATTTAAGCCCAGACCGAAAAATTTTACTTTAAACAAAACCAACCAACCACAACAGAAAATGTATTTCACGTTTTTGCAATACTGTACACACTGTATTGTATAAATGTATTATTTGTACTAATGAATTCCTCCTTTTCTGCAGCCTATTACATTCTTATGCATCAATGTGATGTGTTTAGGGTCTCAGTCCCTCATTCCCTTTGGCACTTTAGCGATTAGCTCACTAATGAGACGTGTAATGTAGAATCCCGTGGCCTCCGTTTTTCCATGGTTCTGTATTTTCAGTGTAAATTACATGAATGTGATGAAGTCTTGCTTTTTTTCTGAAAATTGGCTGTGACACTGATGTAGCCTAGTACAGCCCTAAAACCTTGATCGCTCACAAGTAATAATAAACATTTGGTTTTGGTGCACAGCAACTGATATGATTCATATGAATGCCATGATTATATTATAGTAGCTTTAACAGAACAATGCAGTGTAAAAGTAGAAATGTTGGACACTTGACTAGGGCCAGGCACAAACACTGATGTTGGAGATAGACATGCATCTCTTTCTCCCTTTAGTCCATGCTTACATTAAAAGGCCATAAATTTGAAAAGACAGTGATGTATTTTTGTTTTTGAAATTTTGTGATGCTTTAAAAAACTTAAAGCCTCAGTCACCATTTGCAAAGAAAGTACAATTGAATTTATAATTTATCAAATACATGTGGCCATGGGATGTCTGGCTCAATTGAACGTGCCTGAGGGGATTTAGGAAATGTATTGCGATATTTCCCTCCAGACTGTAGTGATGATTTGCAAAAATAAAAAGAGTTTCAAATCACTTGGTTGGACATCATTACTTCCAGAACTTAAAAAAGCACCAACTCGATAATAATGTTGCATCAGATATGCAGCGCAGCTCCAGACCAAACCCCTAGTAAAGAGCCTAAAGTTTCAGTCGCTGTTGATGTCAGCCAGTTGTGCTGGTGTCTATTAAAAGTCTAACTGAATTTAAGAATGACTTCTAACGCGTTCCTCTGAATGGCACCTGAAGCGGTTTAAGTCGTCGATAATGAGGACAGACTCACCACTGAGCGTTTTTCCATCCGTCATGAGACTCATGACTGTCGTTCAGTTTGGGACTGTAGTAGGACTTTAGTTTTTCCAAAAGAAAATGAACCGCTGTTTGTGTTTCATCTTCATTAATTCCTGTCTGCTTTTGTCATCGGGTAAGTATTTCTCAGTTGTTTGTTTATATTATAAGAACTCTGTGGAAAACGCGTTGTATACTTGCGAAAGCTTCCATTGTGTATACGTGTACACAGTTTGGAACATTTTGATTCTGTCTCAAAACTGAGTAAGCTACCTACCTAGACAGCAGGCTCCGAAATGAAGCAGGGCTTATGGCAAAGATGCCGAATTAGTCAGTTTTTTGTGGTGCCTGCTAAACAAAACATCACTATTGCTCATTACTATTCTTATTAGTCTTTCGGGTACTTCCCACAGATAGTGAGGAGAAGCTGGACGGCTGTAAAAGGGTCAGAGGTGGGTACGTTAGTTTCCTTAATAAGCAGCCATTCAGAAACCGCCTATTTACTGCCTTGAAACGCCCTAGAAACCATATTAGCAACAGGCCCCAGTCATACCTCAGCACCTCGTTTTTGTTGCCTAACATCAAGGGCTCCACTATGGTTTCTGGGCCCCCTGAACATTGACTGGGGCCCCTTCAAATCGCGTGTTACACACAAATCTCTACCTGATCAAATATGGACCACATGGATCACGTTTTCTCAGAAGTGCAAGTCGTCATAATTAGGTAAACTTCTATAGTGGCGATCGGAAACTACAACAAAAATAATTTTTGTATTCCCATTTGCTCCAGTAGCAAAATCCATGATAACGTTCCTCAGGTGACATAAGTGAGGAAGTGTCAAGGCTGAGAAAACGGTCAATATTAAAGCTTGGCCAAAAAAATAAATAAAAAGTATATTTATTTTATAAATGCCATGGAGTTCTTATTAATTCACTTTTCTAAAGGTCTACAAATCACACTTTTAAAATTAGGCTCCCTCATATATCCAGATTTCCCAAGACATTGGACACCCTGGTTCTTCTTCTTCCTCTTCTTCTAAATAATTGAATAAATAAATCTTGATTTATAGTTGTTTGGCCTTATTTTAATGCTTGTGTTTTTCTTATGTTAAATATTTTTTAAGTTATCTTGAGGCTGTCATGGAACTTTGCTGAGGCCCTCTGTTGGGCCCTGGCCCCCATTTCAGATCATACTTGAACACACTGTATTTTCATTGTGTGTGTGTGTGTTTATGAGGACACAAATTTGTATAATAACTAGGGATGCACCGATATGAAAATTTTGGCCGATACCGATAACCGATAATCCTTTATTTTTGAAAGCCGATAACCGATATGTTGGCCGATAAATCTATATCCAAATTTTTATATACTTTTTGAGAGCCTGATTACAAAAAAGGTCTCATCATTAAAAACCACATCCCAAACACTTCAACATAAGCAGCCTAGTTTGAAGTGGTACAAGTGGTTGTTATTATTAATAATGTATCAATGATTTTGAAAAAGTAACAAATTAATACCACTGTTTTAAATAGCAGCCGTTTGAGCTGCGCGTGCTGAAGCTGAAGAGCTGAATGAATACGGTAAACTGAAGCGTTTTGCTGGCAGCTTATTTAATTCAAGGAAATGCATCCTGAGATTAATATTAATACAACATAAACATAATATTACAACTTATATATGTACAAAATGATGCAGTTATTGCGTGCTATAGTCAGAATGTGTGATCCTGTTGTGGATGCGCTCTTCCCATATCAACGCGCTGAAACACAGCAACTAAACCCAAAGAATTCACAACGTTTTATTATAATAATGTTCTCATTAGAATGTTATATACACGACATTCCCAATCATAGTTATTAATGTTGTGCACTGCTGTTTGAGCTGCGTGCGCTGAGCTAAAGATGATCACTGGTAAACTGAAGCGCTCTTTTAACTTAACCAAACGCATTCTATATGAGATAAATCAGATATACATCAAATAAACACAATATTACAACGTACAATTGCACAAAAGGCTGCAAACGAACAGCGCGCATCTGAAGTGTCTCTGAAGGAAATAATGCATTATTTATCGGCTTTAAGATATCGGCCAAATTTTCTTATTGGGCTGATACCGATAACAGAAAAAAATGAGCATTTATCGGCCGATACCGATATGGTGGCCGATATATCGTGCATCCCTAATAATAACATGGGTATGACATAGGTATTAAAACGAGAAGGTGATTTATGGGGACATTTTCAGTGTCCCCGTAATTCAAAAGGCTTATAAATAATTCAGAATTCGTTTTTTTGAAAATCTAAAAATGCAGAAAGTTTCCTGTGAGGGGTAGGTTTAGGGGTAGGGCAATAGAAAATACGGTTTGTACAGTATAAAAACCATTACGCCTATGGAGAGTCCCTATAAACCATAAAAACAAACCTGTGCGTGTGTGTGTGTGTTTTTCTAGTCTAGTTGTACTACAGGACATGATATGATGAGTTTGATGTGGCATCTATAGTGTAAAATAACACATGTAATAAATCTTTTTAAAGAAATATGGGAGACATTATTGGATTATCTTTTGGTTACAGTTCAGGGACATTTTTGGTATGTTTTTATTATAGTACTGCTCAAAGATGCTTTCATGTATGGTTGTGAAAATGATCCAATAAAGTTATTTAGTCTAATGGCGTGGCCTGCATGTTTTACTGTGTAAAGTGTTTTTTTTCTCAGACACAATTACACTGAAAGTATCTGATTAAAGACATTATCTACCAAAGTATATACTTTATTCCAGGCCCTGGTTGAGAGCAACTAGTCTAGGTAGATGGTTCACTGCTTACTGTTTTTGAGACAATCTACATAAACAACTTACGAGTTATTCTCAAGTAGTGCAGCCAAATGAATCTCTTAACTCACACACCATACTCAAAGGTTTCCATGAAAACACAGATTGCAGCATTCACAATGTTTTGGACCAGATGTATGCTATTGCAGCAGGATCTTACACAACATTATAAAAGTACTCTGCTAGTAGCTTTTATTGTAATTTCTGTAATATAAGAACAAATAAACTGCTTTTCTGGATTTTCCGTATGCAGACAGGAGAGCTGTCCAGGCTCATTCAGCTGAAGGAGAGACTTCAGTGACTAGATCAAACATGTCCAACTATTCAACTTTACTGCCCAAAGCTGAACATATCACCCCAACTGAGCCATCTGTGAACACATCTACAGGTACAGCATGATTTCCTGATTTGTTGCAATACTTTTGATCAGTTTATTACATTGGTTTCACCAGCAGCATCAGCATTTCTACAGTCAAAATGTGAAACTACCATTTTCTTTGGATGGATAAAACAGGTGTTCCTCCAAGTATCCCAACAGCAGGTCCTCGGTTCCATGCAGGTAGTTTCATTGGCGGTATGATGCTTGCCTTTATTATCATACTGGTCGTCACTCTGGGCTACAAGTTGGCCTGCTCACAACGGGAAGTGCACTACAGAGCCATGGGAGTATCATCAGAGTGCTTGTTTGTTTTTTGTTTTTTTTGGCAGTATTTTTACATTTAAATAATTGTAAAAAAAGCATGTGGATCCAGATATGTGCTGAGTTTTTGAACCATGTACCTATTTCTCATCCTCTTTTTCAGCAGCCTTTTTTCCGGAAGTATATTTTTCAATAAATTTTTCCCATAGGGATTTAAAAAATGTTATAAGTTAAGAGTTATAAGCCATGAACCAAACCAACCAGCTTCAAGGTGAATCATAACATGATAAAACTTTTATTTTAATGTAAAAATAAAACTGTCTACTTAACGGCTTTAACGAGAGAAAGAACTTCAATTCCATGAAGCAATGACAATTGAATAAAAATGATGGAGAAATATAACACTATTTATCTATGAAAATAGATAAAAATAGTGTTATATTTCTCCATCAGTTATATTTCTCCATCAAATTCAGTGTTTTAACAGCTGAATTTGTGGTGAAAACTACACTACCCATGATGCTGTACAGAAAAGTCATGGCATATAATATATATTTACACCTCATAGCACACAGTAGGTCTGTATTTAAAGGGGTCCTATTATGCTCTTTACAAAGTCTTGATTTTGTTTTGGGGGTGTAACTAGAACAGGCTCTCATACTAGGTTGTTGGAAAAACACATAATTTTTCACATATTTTACATTATTTCAACACCTCTCTACCCAGTCTGGCATGAACGGCTCGAAAAGTTCCTGAATCAAATGAAGGCCCACCTTCTGAAATACGAAATGTGCTGTGATTGGTTAGCTGGGCCAGTGTGTGCTGTGATTGGTTAGCTGGGCCAGTGTGTGCTGTGATTGGTTAGCTGGGCCAGTGTGTGCTGTGATTGGTTAGCTGGGCCAGTGTGTGTTGTGATTGGCAGCACTCGGTGCTTGGTCGGGAAATGTCACGCCCCTTACCATAACTGCCTGCGAGCTTCAGTGTAAATATTGCGTCAAAATCAAAACAATTTGAGCGTGATTTAAACCTGGATGATTGTAACCGCTCTAAGTTCGTCTGCTTTGGGAAAGCTAGCGTGTCTCTGACATAGTGATAACACTCGTTGCCTTCTCTAGTGCAGCTCAACCAGGTCTCGTACCATTCGTTGATCTTTGTGATATCACAAATCCCGGAAAACATGCGTTGTAGTCCAAACGAGTCGTTCGTTGTAGTTTTTGAAAAATGATTTCTGTTAAATAAAATATCTCCTTTTGAA